GACCCGAGTTCGATCCCCAGTACCAAAAAAAAAAAAAAAGAATTCTTAAAACTCAACAGTTAAAAATTCAAACAACTAGAAAATGCACTAAAATCATGTACATTCACTGAAGAAGGTATATGAATGGCAAATAAGCCCATGAAAAGATGTTCAACATCACCAAACATTGGGGAAATGAAGATTAGAGCTACAACATAACTATCACACACCTATCAGAAAGGCTAAAATTAAAAAACAAAGTGACAACACCAAATGTTAATGACGATGTTAAGAATTTGGATCACTCATACATTGTTGGCAGGAATGTGAAATGGTACAGCAATTCTGGAAAACAGTTTGGTAGTTTCTTTAAAAGCTAAACATGCAAATACCATATGACCCAACAATTGGACTCTTAGGCATTTGTCCCAGAGAAATGAAAAGTTATGTCCGCATAAAAGGCTATTAGGTGAATGTTCATAGAAGCTTAATTTGTAACAGCTGAAACCAGGAAACAATACAGCTGTCCTTCAGTGAATGAATGGATAAATTGATACATCCATGCCATGGAAAACTACTCATCAATACAAAGGAACAGAGCACTGAACAAACAAAAAGAACAAGGTAGTGATATGTGCAGTAACACAGATGGACCCATAATTATACTGACTGAAAGAAATCCCCAAAGGTTACATACTATGTGGTTACATTTACTATATAACCTTGTTGAAGTGACCTAATTTTAGCAGTCCATCGCCTTAACCACTCAGCCACCTAGTCCCACAAAATGACCTAATTTTAGAAACGGAGAAGAGATTAGTGGTTGCTAGGGGTTAAGTAGGAGGCAAAGTGGGAGGAAAGTGGATGTGGCTCCAAAAGGGCAACCTGGAGGATCCTGGTGAAGATGGAAACCTTCTGCATCTTGACTGTGTCAGTGTCACCACCCTGCTTGAATATTGTTCTACTGTTTTGCAAGAGGTTACCATTAAGAAAAACAGAAAAGGGTATGTGAGATCTGTCTGTATTATTTCTTAAACACCATGTGAATCTACAAAGATCACAAACTAAAAAGTTTAATTACTTAGGAGAAAAATGAATTAGATCCACATGTTCTAACATGGAGAGGTTTCCAAGACATATTGTTGAGTGAAAAAAGCAAGTTGCAGATCACTGTATTTAGTGCAAAATCATTTGGGGTTTTTTTTGTGGTTTTTTTTTTTTTGAGACAGGATCTCACTATGTAGCCCAGGCTGGCCTCGAATTCACAGCGATCCTCCTGTCTCAGCCTCTCAAGTGCTGGGATTACAGGTATGCACACCCCAATGCCCAGCCAATGCCATTTGTTTTTAAAGGACTCACATAAAACCAAACTATGTAAACACAGAAAAAGATTTGGAAGAGGATGGGAGCTCTATATTGTGAATAGTGGTTACCTTTAGGGAGCTGAGTGGGCCAAGGGAAAGGATTTTAATGGTTACTGCATTGTTCAATTTTTTTCACAATGAGAATATGTTCATATGTTATTCATAAAACAACTGCAATACTCTAGGAATTCAAATCTGTTTTGCTTATCTGGATTTGACCTATCCTTGTTCACCAATATTATGGCCAGGGCACCAGGTTCACAGCTCCCCTGTCCTTGAGCCTGAAGAAAGTGGCTCCTAAATCTCCTAATGTGGAAAGAGACCACTAACAAGCAAGACTACCTTGGGGGTACAGAAGTACCACTTGGAAGGGCAGATGCCCCCATAACTATGAATCTACCCATTGCTGCTGATGACAGCTTAATTAACACACAAAGCTCAGCATGTGCCAATCAGTGCAGCAACAATTTTTATAAGATTTCAGTTAAAACTGTCCTGCAGATTTCAATACCAAGGGCTGCAAAGGCCTCTCCACCTCAGACCTGAAAATATGGCAGCAGTTAGGCCACTGTGGAGGAAACAGAACAGCAGGTATGAGTAACAGTGGGACACCTGCACCAAGCTGAGAGCAGATTCACTCGAGGGTGGCCCTGCAGAGCTCGTCCTTTCAATCATTCATTCACTTACCATTTATTGAGCGCCCATGAAATGCCAAGTGTTCTAGGCACTGACAATAGCATTGAACTGAACAAAATCCTTGCCCTCATGGAGCTCGCATTCTGGAGAGCAGACAATAGGTAAGATAAACAAATCGACTATCTGTCAGGTAGTATTAAGTGCTATGAAGAAAATAAACAGCATGGAAGGAGGATGTGGGGTGTGGGGGCTGGGTGTGGAAACTTTAGAAATGGTACCCAGAGAAGGCCTCACTGAGAAAGTAACATTTTAGTGGAGGCCTGAAAGAAGTGAAAGAGCCAACTACAAACATACCCAGTTATTCTGGACATTTTCTATTTGCTGTCTCAGACCTTCTCCACCTTTTCCCACCCAACATTGTGCCCCAGTAGGCTGACCTGTGTGGGCAGCATCAACAGGTTCTCTTGCCCTCTGGCTGCGGGGTAGGTTCGACCAGTGGGAGACACCTGCAAGGAGATGAGAAGGAACAGGATGCATGATTAGGGTGTTTCTTCCTCAGCTGTCTCTGTCCAGTGTCTTCATGGATTGGCCGTATGCCTCTACCAAAGATCACAGCCCTGTGGCGTGGCTCTCCAGTGGCCACGGTCACTCCCTCCCAGGTGCCTGCCTGATACACCAGGAGAAGCATTCCAGGCAAGAGGAAAATATAATGCATGTGGCAAGCTTAAAGACTGGTGGAGTACTATTCAGTATAAAGAAGAATGAAATTGTGTCAAGTGTAGGAAAATGGATGGAACTGGAGATCACTATGTTAAGTGAAATAAGACATTCAGACAAATACCAAGTTTTCTTTCATATGTGGGAGAGAGAGAAAACATAAAAGTAGAAGGGGACTATTAGAGAAGAGGAAGGGAACAAGGGAGAGGGAAGGGCAAGGAGAGTAAAGGGAGTGGAGCAGATCAAAGTATGTTATGTATGAATATGCTAAAATGAAACCAACTATTCTGCTTAAGTAATACTCACTAAAAATAAAAGAATGGCCAGGAGGCCAGCATGGCTGGAATAGAGAAGGTGATGGTGAGTTTGTAGGAAAAAATGTCAAGAAGGTCTAAGAGACCAGATTATGCAAGGCACTGAGGACTACCATAGAGGTGTTGGACATTAAACCTGGAGCCTCATACATGTTAAGCAAATGCTCCAGCACTGGGCTACACTCCCAGCCCAAGATTTGGCTTTTAATCTGAGTAAGATAGAGAGCACCTAGAGGATCTTAGCCAGAAGACTGACATGCTCAGACTCACTTTGGGAGACTGCTGACAGGACTACTACAATAATCCAGGCAAAAGAGGATGATGGTTTGGACTCAGGTGGTGACAGTGAGTGGTTAAAAAGTGGCCAGATTCTGAATAGATTTTGAAAGTGGTATAGAAGAATCTTGTTCCACTCAGAACACAAGCCCAAATCCAAGACCAGAGCCTTGGTCCTCTGCAGGTCATTGTGCATCCCAGAAGTTCTGAGATTCAACAAGATTTCAGAGAGCCCACATACAGCAAGGTAACCCTACCATTGATGTGGAACATACAGCTCGAGGCCAAAGCCAAGCCCAAAAGGTTTTTAGTATGTTCCTGACTCTAGAAAAACTCCAGAAAACTGTCACCATGGGCTTTCTAGACAACTTTCCCCACCCCAAAGCCAAACCTCTATAGGGTGCTACAGGGTGCCATTTGCGTCCCCTTTGCTGGAACCCTGAATGGCTCCAGCCACTTCAGCACCAAGAGCTGTCTGAACCATGTCACATCAGAATTCTGAAAAACACTGTCCCTCATTTGCCCCATCCATACCTTCTGTCCTCTGCTCACTGTCACTCACGGGCTGACAGGAGACAGAGCACACTTTTCAACCACTGAGCAGAAAGCAACATGGGTCACAGAAGTCAGAACAGAGTGTGAGCAACATTTCAAAGGTACCTTTATCTTCATAAGGATTTTAAAACTGCCCAGGAAAGCAGGCAACCGCCAACCACACATGAAGATCACTGAGAGGGAAGAGAAAATGGAAAACCTGGCCCCACAGGCTGAGAGGCTCCAAGTTGAGTTGGGAACAGAAGCACCCTGGCATGTCTTGGTACACACTGTTGATTCTCAGGATAAAGCCTGTTGCTTCAGATTTATGAATTCCTCAGCAATGCATCCAGCTGGAAAGAGGAGAACAGCACATGATTCTGAGGGCTCATTCCAAAGCCAGAATAAACTGATGGTATTTTGTTTATGTGCAAATAAATCAATCCAAAGAGATCAGCTCCATAGCCAAAGTCCATAAGACTGGAGAAGAAATTGCTGCCAACTTCTGTGTCCTGGCACACTCCTCAGGTGGATGACCTGCATTAGCATCCTGGATCCAGCATTTTCAACCCATGGGCCCTTAGGAAAAATCTTAACCCTCCTAGGACCTCAATTTTCTAATCTGTAAAATCGGGATAATACCCACCTCACAAAGTTGCAGTAAAGATCAGGGGGCTCCTCTGTGTCTGGCACAGCTCCTAGAATACCAGCTGCTCAGTCACCTCTCCTCATGCCCACCTTTCTTTGGCAAGAGACAGCCTGTGGTGTGGGGCAATTATGGGGTTGCAGTGGCCCCTGGTGTCCCTAGGAAGAACTCGCTGAGGAATCTGCCAGCTCTTACATGCCAATGCCATTTTCTGTTCTCTTTTAAAAAGGTATCCTGGGTAGTTGGCATTCGATCCCAGCAGGACATGGTTTCATCCACAGCTTGGCACCAAAGGGCACTAATGTCTATTAATTAACTGTACATTCAGCTGAACTGCTAAAGCAGCTATTCTTATTTCTAGAGTCCCACATCTTTTCTTATTCCACACGAGGTTACCTGAGCGCTTTATGTATGTGAATTGTTGATGCAGACCTCTGCTATATCCCCTTTCTCTTCCATCCTTTTAGCCTCTCCTCTCCTCTCTCTCCACTTGTCCTTGGCCTTGGCTCACCGTCTTGTTCCTTCTCTTCCCTGGCTTTCACAAACTCTCACCCAAAGAGAGTATGTATAGGGAGAGAGCAGAGAAAAATGATTCAAACTGGGTAAGGTGAGGTGCACCTATAGTCTCAGCACTTGGGATGCTAAGGCAGAGGATCCCTTTGATGTCCTCTGAGGTTAGCCTGGGCAACACAGTAAGACCGTATCTCAACAACAACAACAACAACAACACATGGCTTGAGTATGCCTGTGATCAGGCTTAGAGGAAATCGCCTCACTTCAGTGTTGCCCTGTCATACCAGTCCCCCCACACCACCTTCCTGTTCATTCACACTGGACTAGGTAATGAGACTGCAGAGCCAAAGGAGGCATGGCTGCTGCCCTCAGAAAATGCATAGGCTAGTGAGGGAGATGGATGGTTCCATGGTGGATATGAAGAGCTGCAGAGGGGGTGTGCAGAGGTGGGAGACCACCTGGGTGCCTCTGAAGGCCCAGGGAAAGTTTTATCAAAGAGAGGAGACTTGAACTAGGCCTTGAAGCCCTAGTGATATTTTCCCAAATGGAGAAAGGGTCAAAGGGCATCCCAGGGTGGACATGGCATGGAGAAGAGAAGGGCAGTGTGTGTTTGGGGCTCTGGGTGGCCACACACTAAGGTCTGGGAGACGGGGAAATAATAAGCCTGGAAAAGGGAATCTGAAGCCAGCTCACCAAGGGTGTGCAGGACCTCAAGCTCAGAATGCTAAGCAGTTTGGACCTGGTTAATGTTGAGAAGGGACATGGGGCAAGCTATGTCTTAAGAAAATAATCCTAGCTAGAGGAGTGCCTCAGTGGAGAGGGCTTGCCTAGTGTGCTCAAGGTCCTGAGTTCCATCTTCAGCACTGCTGATTAATTCATTAGGTAGTTAATTAATTCTGGAAGACGGAGAGACCAGAAGAAGAAAGCCAATGAGAAAACTGTTGTGATGGTCCAGACACAAATTGAGGCCCTAAACTTAGGTGCTGACCATGGGAATAGAAATCAGGGAGCAGAGAAGAGATATCACTGGAGCTGGCTTCCTCTACATCTGTCTGACCTTTATCCTGGATTCATTCTTCACTCTTCCCAAAACCTTCTCCCTTGACAGTTTTTCATGCTGGGGATCAAACCAAGGGCCTCACACTAGTTAGTAAAATGCTCTACCACTGAGCTACATCCTCAGACCTTCATTTCATTTTGAGACAGGGTCTTACTAAGTTGCCTAGGCTGGCCTCAAACTTGTGATCCTCCTGCTTCAGCTTCCTGAGTAGCTGGGGTTACAGGTGTGCTCCACTATGCCCAGCTTGCCATGATGATATCAATGGAGTCTGGCCCTTAAGTCTAATTCCCATCACATTGTGGACTTATCCCAGTTCTGTCTAAAGATCTGCCCTCTCACCTGCTCTGGGACCAGATTCTGGCTGCTTTCTGGACATTTCCAACTAATTATCTTATCAGCATGTCCAACTCTGCCATGGTGGTGCCTGTATCTCAGCCCTAACCCAGCTTGGTAGAACCACCGACCTCAGCTAATTATGGGTTTCCAGGCCCTAACCCAGTCACTGAAGAATCACTTTACATCTTTTTGGGGCAAACACAATTTCCCATTTCTAAACTATCAATTTATCTATAAACTTAGAGGACTTAATATGCTCACACCTTCAGGATGGCCTTCCCACCATCAAGTTCCTCAGCAGTGGACCTCAACCAGGGCTGGACCCTCCTGTATCATGGAAATACCTGGAAATGTGTAGAGACATTTTTGGTTGTCACAAGGACTCCAAGGTACAACTGGCACTTCGGGCCAGGGGGTCAGGGTGTTAAACATCCTGCCATGCACAGCAGTGTCCCAATCTGCAAAGAATTGTCTCATCCTAAGTGCTAATAGTACAGAAGTTCTATAGTTTCAGTTATCCACTGTCAACCACAGTCCAAAAATAGGACAATTCCTGAAGAAACAATTCATAAATTTCAAATAACTTACTGCAGTGTATGGTTATACAGTGGACCCTTGACTTACGAACTCAATGAGTTCAAGAGGGCTGGTTGTAACTCAAGTTGGTCAATTGAAGGCTCAGGCTCCTCTACACAGCCTTCAAAGTCTCTCTCCTGTATACAGGCAGATCTCAGTGTTCTTAGACAGAGGTTTTCTCAGTTAACCCCATATAGGAAAGGATGTTGTAATGTTCCTTCCAGAACTCTTTGAGGGTTAAATCTGTATCTGAGGGCCGGGGATTTAGCTCAGTGGTTCTGCCGCCTGCCCTGCAAGTGCAAGGACCAGAGTTCAATCCCCGGTAACAACAACAACAACAAAAAATCTGTATCTGAGATCATCTGGGAGCACAAACAACTGGTATTCGGGTCATAACTCAAGACTTTGGTCATTAGTTAAAACTAAAATTCCAGTTATAACCCAAGTTATTCGTATGTCAGGCCAGCCATAACTTGAGGGACCACTGCAGTTGTTCTATTTTATTATTAGTTATTGTGAATCTCTTATTGTGCC